AGTAAAAAATACAGCGGGCGGTGGTTGTGAACTTCTCGACCAAAATACAACAGCGCGCTGCAGCTTCTCACCGAGCAGCATGCAGACTTCACTTCAACAGCAGTCTACAGCCTACACACCTTGAGTTCCACGGGTGGGCAATCCCTGCCCGCGAAGTCTCTGGCTGAAGACGGGAAGATGGAGGCGACCGTCTGTCTGCATGATGCTCTCGAACAACACGAAAGGGATGCGGAAAGTGCCGGCAAAGTGCACAGCTTCTCGACATTCCGGGTCCAGTCCCTCCTCCGCAGCATTCAGCTCTCGCAGCTTCAGTACCCACTTCCCCCAGGTTGACCGCCAGTATTACGGGCGAGGGTAGGAGCGCCGGATGTGCTTCTCGCGCTCCTCCTCCTCCTCCACCACCACCAGCAGATCGCCGAACAAACCACCCGGTTCTTGGTCATTTTGCTCACCACCGGAGTCGAACGTGTGCATAATGTTCTGCAAACTCGATGCTGCGGCAGCAGCCCCGGCCATCATGGACTCCTCATCCATATTGGGCGTGGCCTTCTCGTCGGCGCGGCCTTCTCGTGTGCGTGTAGATATACTCGTGTGTTCGTGTGTTGTTGGGGTGTCTTCGTGTGTGTTGGCGGCATACGTGCCGAAAATGCGGCGCTACTTGCCTTTTCCGCCGCCCAAACATTTGCGCGACCTGCCCCATTTCAAAATGTTTGTCAAACATCTTGTAAAATGAGCGACTTTTGCCCCATTTCAAAATCTTTGAGAATATTCAGCCGAAGATTTTCTCCCGAAAAAAGTGAAACAAAATCTTCATCCGCAAATGTTTGAAAACTGGAAAATTTAGACATTTTTGCAAAGATTTGGCGACCGTAAACACGGGGCTCACGCACGTGCGCAAAAACGTGCATAAAAATGTCAAGAAATAAGCACAGCAGGTCAGGGCCTACACTTGCTGTCTTGTACATACCAGAGCGATTTTCTGCTTCTAGATCGGGGGCAAGCGAACGCGGATTCACCTTCTGGATGTTTTGCTGGTGAGCGGCTCCCGGCATAAGCATGCTAAGGACCCACGCCGGCGGGGCCTTCTCCGTCTCCACTGCCTTTGTGACCGCGCTGACGAGAACGGCCTCCAGCGGCCCGCCGCTTGCCACAAGCGGTGCACTCTGCTGACTGGCGGCGTCGGCGCGGTTCTGCAGGATGTCGTGTGCGAGGTCGTCGTCAGCGTTGTCGTCATCGTCATCGTCGTCGTCAGGGGGTGGGTCGGTGTCGAGGGTTTGAATTCCAGCCTTGGCGCCGTCGCTAGCGCTGCTGTTGTTGTCGCTGTCGCGACCGTCACCGACCAGGGCGTGGAAATATCCGGGATGGTGACTGCTCTGCGAGGGTGCTACGCTCGCAGATGCACCGGCGGATTCCCCAGCTTGGGCAGGCTTCGGCTGTCCCTCTTGGAGCTTAGCCGAGCCGTGGTTGGTAGTGGCAGCAGCGTCGGGACCCAGCGCTGCTGGCGGTTTGGGCGTCAGCTACTTTTGCTTTTTTTTTTCTTCTTCTGCTGTTACTGCTGTTTGTTGTCTGTTGTTCCGACCCTCCGTCCTTTTTCTTCCCTTGCAATGGTATTCTTTTTTTTTTTTCACTTCAAATCAGCGCTCACGGCACTAGTGCACTAGTGCCGTTTACTCCTACCTGTGGTCACACAGAAGAGCCCCTCTCTACCCTCCCCTCCTGCGGTGCCTTGCCTTCGATTTTTAAGGCGAGAAGAGTTCAGCACTCTCTTCCCTCTGTGTACACACGAACTAGCGCTATCCACTAGGCCAGGAGCGGAAGCGAGAGAAAAACTCATTTTGCAAGAAAAGCTCGCTTACGCCGGGATTCGAACCCCTGACCTGACCTCTAGAAGGTTTCACTGTTCTCAACTAGACCACCGGGGCGACCGGCTGTACTGCAATATGACTTGACAACTAACATTGCATAGATATTACAGTCGAGGGACCCTTTTAGTGCCGGTACGTGCACAGAGCGTTCACCGGCAC